AAATAATATACAGCTGTCTTTTAACAATGTTGACCATTATGCTGTTCTGCTTCACATTGAAAACACTTCTCAATTGTGCATTCTTTGCAAAAAATAAATTGTAATTAAGTTATATTACCTCTTATGTAATATTAGTCTCTTAAAGAGACTAAATAAAAGTAAACACACACACCATATAAGCAAGTAGGGGAAAGAACATATTTCTCAAATCCAAAGGTACCATTTTATAAACCCTTGTTAAATTTCTTGAAGAGTCTTCTTATTCACAGGGATTTTGTCATGTAAATCAATATTTATTTAACAAGGATCCACTAGCCTTTTCATTTGTACCTGACTTTGTCTGATATAGCCAAGGATACAATTTCAGACAAGACATGGTGTCTGCTCATTGGAAACTCATACTTTGGTCTGGGGGAAACTTTTCTTTTCACTATTGCATTACTAGTAGAGAGTGTTCTGATGGAGGCTGCCATGGGAACTCAGGGGCAGACAGCAAAGCAAGATGGAGAATAAATTTCCTCAAAGGGAGTAGAAGGAGAATTGCCTTCTTCCCGAGGAGGTTCTCCTTTCTTGGTGGAGTAAAAGGTTTCCAAATGTTATCAAGCTCTTCTATTTGCACTCTTTAAAATATAAAGACAAGTATCAAGTCTGTTACTTGATGTGAGTCTTACACTCTTCAAACAAAATATCCTTAGGGTATTTTAAATCTCATATAGCATATTCTGAACATCTTCAACATTCTGCATAGATGGGAATGAATGAAAAGTTTTTAAAATTGTAATGACATTTGAATATTTCTAATGCTTCAACTCAAGATAATTCATAAGGAATGTTTATTAAATTACTTACCATTTCTTTATCAGTGTCAATCGTTGTTAGATCAGCATGTGCGGTAGTACAGTTGTCTCTACTTGATTTCCAATCCCCTTCGTTTTCAGAGAAATAATAACATTTGTCTTGGAAACCAATCCAATCATCTGGGCAAAAACTTTGACGATACGAAACTGATAAAAATAAATATATATTCTAAAAACCAGATAAAGTAATATGCTATTGTGTTTTTGGATCTCTGGGGAAAGACGGGATTGTAATGTAAAAGATTATAGTCATGACCAAATTTGTATATCTATCACATAATAGGGTGAAAAAATTGTATTCCTTTTGTCATGTTAGGTCAAACATGACAGTTTAGAATTTAACAGGGCCCTTATATTCCTTTCAACTCCAACCTTAGTGACATATAAGCATTCCTTCCTGGAGCAACCAGTAGTATTCTCCTTGCGTGGGTCAACCTTGCCATTTCTAGGTAAATGAAATATAATGAAATCCTAGCATTATCTGGGAATAATAAAACCTTAATTTATATCAGACTGTAATAAATTTAGGACACATGATTTAATCTTCAAGGAAGTAATTAAAACAATAAAACAGAATATATAACAAGATATTGGATATCCTGTTGTCAGCTGGTTACCTCCATCACTGTATAGTTCTAGGTTGGCTAGTGAGAGGAATCCACATGACATTTAGAAGGTGGAAATAAAGCAGAAGACATTATTCCTAGAGAACATCAGGACAGGGGCTTCACAGGCCTTTCCATGAGTTCCCCTTTTGCAGTCTTGGCAGCCAGAAGTCTTAGCTTCTGAGACTTTCCTTTAGTATTACCTGTGTTCTCCAAACACATTGGTGCATCAAGCCAATATCGTTAGTGACTATTTCTCCTCCAGCTATATAGCCCCAACCTTCAGTTATGCCTTAGTCCCCAGATTCTCTCACATTCATGTTATCTCTAATTTCTATATTAAAGTCTTATTCTTATAATACGTGTTTATTTTTCTGAACACCCCCAGACTGAATCAGCTTTTGGTACCAAGAGTGATACTAAAGGAATAGGACCTTAAGGATGAGATATAATTTTGGTTTTCTAATATTTACTTTCAAGGTATTGATCTAATTATCAGTTATAAATAGGATGTTGATGGTCTATGGGGCACCTATAGTCACCTGATGTCAAGAGCCTATAGAGAGTAAAACGTTTAACACCCTTCTTTCAATCACTGCTACAGCAACGAAGCAAAACTAGTGAGGACAATCATATCTGAACATCATGATTAACAAACACAAGCCAATTGACATACATAGAGAGCTATGTACAATAGCTATAGAATACACATCCTTTTAAGATGTATAAGGACATGTACCATAATACAGGACAATAAAGTACAAACCACAAATTTTAAAAGATTGAAGACATTTATAGCATATCATCTGACTATAGTAGAATTAAGCCATATATCAATAACAAAAATAAAATTAGAGTATCACAAAGTTTGTAAATTAAACAATGCAATGCTAGACAGCTGACAACTCAAAGAAGAAGTCATCATGGGAAGTAGAAAATACTTTTTTTGAGGAGGAGGTGGACAGAGTCTCACTTTGTTGCCCAGGCTAGAGTGCCATGGCATCAGTCTAGCTCACAGCAACCTCAAACTCCTGGGCTCAAACGATCCTTGTGCCTCAGCCTCCTGAGTAGCTGGGACTACAGGCATGTGCCACCATGCCCGGCTAATTTTTTCTGTATATTTTTAGTTGTTCAGCTAATTTCTTTCCATTTTCTTAGTAGAGATGGGGTCTCACTCTTGCTCAGGCTGGTCTCAAACTCCTGAGCTCAAACGACCAATCCACCTCAGCCTCCCAGAGTGCTAGGATTACAGGCGTGAGCCACCATGCAGGTCTACTTTGAACTGGAGGATAGTTATATAAATTTTGGTATATGCAGTACATGTGTGCGTATGTATATATGCACACACACATCATATATACCATATCAAAAAATACGAACTATATATATACACACACATATATACATACACACACACACACACACACACACACACACACACACTCTCTATATCCAAACTTAAGGGATACAACTAAACTTGTGGGACACAACACGCTCCTTTAAAGGTTAATGTTTTTAAAAGAAAGAAAGAATTTTTGAAAAGACAAATATCTATCTCAAAAAGTTAGTAAGAATGATGAATTAAGCTCAAATAGACACAATTTAAAAAAGCAGGAATCAACTGAATAGCAAATTACAGTGAACTATGACCCAGACACTGCACTCCAGCCTACCTAACAGAGTGAGACCCCCTCTCTAAAAAAAAAAAAGAAAAAAGAAATAAATAAAAGAAAA